TCAGGGAGGAAGACATCATCAGGAAGGAAGACATCATCAGGGAGGAAGACATCATCAGGAAGGAAGACATCATCAGGGAGGAAGACATCATCAGGAAGGAAGACATCATAAGGGAGGAAGACATCGCCAGGAAGGAAGACATCATCAGGGAGGAAGACATCGCCAGGAAGGAAGACATCATAAGGGAGGAAGACATCGCCAGGTTTGAAGACATCATTAGAGAGGAAGACATCGCCAGGTAGGAAGACATCATCAGGATGGATGACATCTTCAAAAAATAAGACATCATCAGGAAGGAAGACATCATCAGGGAGGAAGACATCATCAGGATGGAAGACATCATCAGGAAAGGAAGACATCATCAGGAAGGAAGACATCATCAGGAGGAAGACATCATCAGGATGGAAGACATCATCAGGAAGGAAACATCATCAGGAGGAGACATCATCAGGATGGAAGACATCATCAGGAAGGAAGACATCATCAGGATGGAAGACAAACATCAGGAAGGAAGACATCATCAGGAAGGAAGACATCATCAGGAAGGAAGACATCATCAGGAAGGAAGACATCATCAGGAAGGAAGACATCATCAGGAAGGAAGACATCATCAGGAAGGAAGACATCATCAGAAGGAAGACATCATCAGGAAGGAAGACATCATCAGGAAGGAAGACATCATCAGGAAGGAAGACATCATCAGGATGGAAGACATCATCAGGAAGGAAGACATCATCAGGAAGGAAGACATCATCAGGAAGGAAGACATCATCAGGAAGGAAGACATCATCAGGAAGGAAGACATCATCAGGATGGAAGACATCATCAGGAAGGAAGACATCATCAGGAAGGAAGACATCATCAGGAAGGAAGACATCATCAGGAAGGAAGACATCATCAGCAAGGAAGACATCATAAAGAAGGAAGACTCCGAGACGCAGGATGCTGGGATCATCTTACATCCAACAGTGTCATCCAGAACAACAGGATGCTGGGATCATTTTACATCCAACAGTGTCATCCAGAACAACAGGATGCTGGGATCATCTTACATCCAACAGTGTCATCCAGAACATGATGCTGGGATCATCTTACATCCAACTGTGTCATCCAGAACAACATGATGCTGGGATCATCTTACATCCAACAGTGTCATCCAGAACATGGTGCTGGGATCATCTTACATCCAACAGTGTCATCCAGAACAACAGGGTGCTGGGATCATCTTACATCCAACAGTGTCATCCAGAACAACAGGATGCTGGGATCATCTTACATCCAACAGTGTCATCCAGAACAACAGGATGCTGGGATCATCTTACATCAACAGTGTCATCCAGAACAACAGGATGCTGGGATCATCTTACATCCAACAGTGTCATCCAGAACAACAGGATGCTGGGATCATCTTACATCCAACAGTGTCATCCAGAACAACAGGATGCTGGGATCATCTTACATCCAACAGTGTCATCCAGAACAACAGGATCCTGGGATCATCTTACATCCAACAGTGTCATCCAGAACAACAGGATGCTGGGATCATCTTACATCCGACAGTGTCATCCAGAACAACAGGATGCTGGGATCATCTTACATCCAACAGTGTCCCTGGGATCATCTTACATCCAACAGTGTCATCCAGAACAACAGTGTCATCCAGAACAACAGGATGCTGGGATCATCTTACATCCAACAGTGTCATCCAAAACAACATGATGCTGGGACCATCTTACATCCAACAGTGTCATCCAGAATAACAGGATGCTGGGACCATCTTACATCCAACAGTGTCATCCAGAATAACAGGATGCTGGGACCATCTTACATCCAACAGTGTCATCCAAAACAACATGATGCTGGGACCATCTTACATCCAACAGTGTCATCCAGAATAACAGGATGCTGGGACCATCTTACATCCAACAGTGTCATCCAGAATAACAGGATGCTGGGACCATCTTACATCCAACAGTGTCATCCAGAACAACAGTGTCATCCAGAACAACAGGATGCTGGGATCATCTTACATCCAACTGTGTCATCCAGAACAACAGGATGCTGGGATCATCTTACATCCAACAGTGTCATCCAGAACAACATGATGCTGGGATCATCTTACATCCAACAGTGTCATCCAGAACAACAGGATGCTGGGATCATCTTACATCCAACTGTGTCATCCAGAACAACAGGATGCTGGGATCATCTTACATCCAACAGTGTCATCCAGAACAACAGGATGCTGGGATCATCTTACATCCAACAGTGTCATCCAAAACAACATGATGCTGGGACCATCTTACATCCAACAGTGTCATCCAGAACAACAGTGTCATCCAGAACAACAGGATGCTGGGACCATCTTACATCCAACTGTGTCATCCAGAACAACAGGATGCTGGGACCATCTTACATCCAACTGTGTCATCCAGAACAACAGGATGCTGGGATCATCTTACATCCAACAGTGTCATCCAGAACAACAGGATGCTGGGATCATCTTACATCCAACAGTGTCATCCAGAACAACAGGATGCTGGGACCATCTTACATCCAACTGTGTCATCCAGAACAACAGGATGCTGGGATCATCTTACATCCAACAGTGTCATGCAGAACAACAGGATGCTGGGATCATCTTACATCCAACAGTGTCATCCAGAACAACAGGATGCTGGGATCATCTTACATCCAACTGTGTCATCCAGAACAACAGGATGCTGGGATCATCTTACATCCAACAGTGTCATCCAGAGAACAACAGGATGCTGGACCATCTTACATCCAACTGTGTCATCCAGACAACAGGTTAGCTGGGATCATACTTACATCCAACAGTGTCATCCAGAACAACAGAATGCTGGGATCATCTTACATCCAACAGTGTCATCCAAAACAACATGATGCTGGAATCATCTTACATCCAACAGTGTCATCCAGAACAACAGGATGCTGCGATCATCTTACATCCAACAGTGTCATCCAGAACAACATGATGCTGGGATCATCTTACATCCAACAGTGTCATCCAGAACAACATGATGCTGGGATCATCTTACATCCAACAGTGTCATCCAGAACAACAGTGTCATCCAGAACAACAGGATGCTGGGACCATCTTACATCCAACAGTGTCATCCAGAACAACAGTGTCATCCAGAACAACAGTGTCAACAGAACAACAGTGTCATCCAGAACAACAGTGTCAACAGAACAAGAGTGTCAACAGAACAAGAGTGTCAACAGAACAACAGTGTCAACAGAAAAACAGTGTCAACAGAACAACAGTGTCATCCAGAACAACAGTGTCAACAGAACAACAGTGTCAACAGAACAACAGTGTCATCCAGAACAACAGTGTCAACAGAACAGTGTCAACAGAACAATAGTGTCAACAGAACAACAGTGTCAACAGAACAACAGTGTCAACAGAACAACTGTCAACAGAACAACAGTGTCAACAGAACAACAGTGTCATCCAGAACAACAGTGTCAACAGAACAACAGTGTCATCCAGAACAACAGTGTCAACAGAACAGTGTCAACAGAACAACAGTGTCAACAGAACAACAGTGTCAACAGAACAACAGTGTCATCCAGAACAACAGTGTCAACAGAACAACAGTGTCAACAGAACAACAGTGTCAACAGAACGACAGTGTCATCCAGAACAACAGTGTCAACAGAACAACAGTGTCAACAGAACAACAGTGTCAACAGAACAACATCTTCTACAGAACAACAGTGTCATCCAGAACTACAGTGTCAACAGAACAACAGTGTCAACAGAACAACAGTGTCAACAGAACAACAGTGTCAACAGAACAACAGTGTCAACAGAACAACAGTGTCAACAGAACAGTGTCAACAGAACAGTGTCAACAGAACAACAGTGTCAACTGAACAACAGTGTCAACAGAACAACAGTGTCAACTGAACAACAGTGTCAACAGAACAACAGTGTCAACTGAACAACAGTGTCAACAGAACAACAGTGTCAACTGAACAACAGTGTCAACAGAACAACAGTGTCAACAGAACAGTGTCAACAGAACAACAGTGTCAACAGAACAACAGTGTCAACTGAACAACAGTGTCAACAGAACAACAGTGTCAACAGAACAGTGTCAACAGAACAGTGTCAACAGAACAACAGTGTCATCCAGCTGAACCTTTGACAGGACGTTTCTTCATCTTCATCCAACATAGCTGCTAACTTAGTTATCCATTGTGTGGGCGAAACGTTGTTACTAAAGGATCACATTATATTGACTTTGTTTATTTTTTCCACTGTGTCGATATTTATACCATTTATGTGCTATAATATATTATATATATATATATATATAATATATATATATATATATATATATATACACTGATCTCTGGCTGAAGGAGACTCGAACCTACGAACCTTAGGACAAGGTACGCAGTGCTTTACCAATCTACCCACACTGGACAATACCTTGGCGTGTAGCTTGCGCTACACGTTTGATCCAAGGCAGCCAGCTTTCAGGGAGAAGGTTCGTAGGTGCGAGTCTCCTTCAGCCAGAGATCAGTGTTTGTGTATATTTCGCATGCTCTCGCGAATTCCTTGCATTGTTCAAATCTCTAGTAAGGCTGATGCATGCAGGGGATGAGATGAAAAGCTGTAAGCCTTCTCCCTGAAAGCTGGCTGCCTTGGATCAAACGTGTAGCTCATGCTACACGCCAAGGTATTGTCCAGTGTGGGTAGATTGGTAAAGCACTGCGTACCTTGTCCTAAGGTTCGTAGGTTCGAGTCTCCTTCAGCCAGAGATCAGTGTTTGTGTATATTTCGCATGCTCTCCGCGAATTCCTTGCATATATATATATATATATATATATATATAATATATATATATATATATATATATATATATATATATATATAATATATATTATATATATATAAATAACTTCTCGAGAATAGTAAAATGCCGTAAAAATTATTCGATAATTTTTGTGGTTGTTTGCAGGTGTGTTGGTTCTAGTGAGTGGTTGAGGTGTGAGTGTGTGTCTGGGTGGACGGGAGCTGCGTGTGCCACACCAACCACACCGTCAACCTTCTACGTCAACAGCTACGTCAAGTTGGCACTCTCGTTCACTCCTCTCGGCTACACCACCTCAATCACACTCAGGTATATTGTTATAACTCAGATGCCTCTATATAGCACTCAGGTGCCTCGGTCGCAGTCAGGTACCCCCAGCACACTCAGGAACCTTTGCCACACTCAGGTACCTTCACCACACTCACGTACCTCTGCCACACTCAGGTACCTCCACCACACTCAGGTACCTCCACCACACTCAGGTACCTCCACCACACTCAGGTACCTCCACCACACTCAGGTACCTCCACCACACTCAGGTACCTCCACCACACTCGGGTACCTCCACCACACTCAGGTACCTCCACCACACTCAGGTACCTCCACCACACTCAGGTACCTCCACCACACTCAGGTACCTCTGCCACACTCAGGTACCTCCACCACACTCAGTTACAAGTTAATGTAAGAGACACATGCGCAAATTTAGTTATCATTCCGCAAACAATTCGCCAGCAAGAGGCTTCGTCAGTCCAGTGCAGAGAAAGGTGGAAGATGAGGAGGAGTTTGATGTAATCAGTCCGTCAGTCTCCATCATAGTCAGGTTCCTCCACCACTCACAGGTTCCTTGTCAGACACAGGAAACGTCATTCAAATTTACGTGTAAGCACACACACACACACACACACACACACACACACACACACACAGGGCCGGATTAAGAAGTCTCCGGGCCCTAGGCTATTCAGATTGGCGGGGCCCCTTTGAGTTACGGGTAAGCGAAGCGACCCCCTTCCTGCTTGGGGGTGGGGGTGGGGGTGGGTCGGTGTGAGCTTGTTTAAGGTCTAATTAAATACATTCTGGCTATTTAGATTAAATTTAATAGGGAAAGTACATCAAGACAACCAAAACCATTTACCAACAGCCATTATAACTATCTTGTTAAATCATGCATTTTAAAGAGAATAAACTCAAGACAGCATAGTATTACTAGATTAGGCTATTAAAGTAGTGACATCATGTACCTATTATATTCAGCATAACCACTACAGCACTATTATTCCCTTTATAAATCACTGACCATTATTGTTATCATTGCATCATGCATAAGACTATCAAATCATATAAACTCAAGAAAGTAAAGAATTGTTTATATTCACAGGCACTTCTTAAATAAACTTTTTTCTGGATTTCATATTGGCAAAATCATCAATTATATTCTGAAAATCAATATTTCTTGTTAGATCAGACTCAATGGTCAACAAGACTAGGCTACACAATTTGTCTTGGCTCATTGTTGAACGGAGCTGGTTTTTCACTCTTTTCATAACAGAAAATGAACGTTCTCCTTCACAGTTAGTAGCTGGAAGTGTTAGGTAAAGGCGATACACTATGTCAACATTAGGGAAGGTTTCTGAGATACCTGCATTTCTTAAATGTTTCAAAGCAGCTGAGGGCGCACATTTTTCAGGTGGAGCTTTAATCTGATTCATATACCCAGAAAAATGAACTATTTCTTCAACAAATGTGTCCTGAAGATCTGCTGAAAGGTGTTGTTGCAACTTTAATGCAGCTTCTCTCAATTCTGCATCTGGCATAGTAGTAATTTTGAACAGAAATCCAAACTTGTCATTGAGATTCTGGTAGATTTCTTTTCTTTTCACCAATTCTGTAATCAGTGAATCCAGAATGACGAAGTATGTAGCTGTCTTACATTTCTGCCTTGGTAGCAACACAATTTCATTGTCTGGCTCTTCAAAATTGCGTTTCCTCTTCCTTGACCGCTGATGATCAGCCCGGTAACTGTAGTCTTTCACCAGCAGTTTAGCTTTCTCTTCAAACATTTCAAAAGCTTCATCATTGCGAAGTGAGCTTACAAATTCCACTAAGCCTGCATAGAGGTTAGCACAAGTATCCATTTCAATTTCAATTTTCTGAAGTGTCTTGTTCGTGGCATTTAACCGTTCCAGTATACAGTCCCAAAGCACACAGAGTAAGGCCAATTCAAAATCTTCCAATTTTGATGCTAAGCTGGCTGCTTCGCTTCTTGTAGTTGCTGTCTGGTCTTCATCCTCTGCTATTTGGATCAAAGCAGAACGTATTTCAGCAAAGCTGTCTTTCAAAGCATGTGTTGCATCATGCTGCGCTGACCACCTTGTTGTTGATAATGATTTGATAACATCTCCATGAATGGTTGACTTGAGTATACTCCACCGATGCGTTGAAGCAGAGAAAAAATTAAAGAGTGCTTGTAAAAGTCCAAAAAATGAAACTGCAGCGACACAACACTCCGCAGCACATGACCCAACAAGATTAAGAGAATGTGCTGAGCAGGGCACATATTCAGCAAGTGGGTTGATTTGCTTGATACGGGCTTGCAATCCATTATATTTACCCGACATGTTACTTGTATTGTCGTAGCTCTGGCCACGGCAATCCATAATAGAGAGATCATGTTCAAGCAGAGTAACAGTACTACATTCATCATTGTTTCTTCATCATGGCCTGAAAGAGGAATGAATTTTATAAAGCGCTCTACAGGCTTACCACTGGAGTCGACAAAGCGAACAATGAATGTCAATTGATCTGTATGTGAAATATCTGGTGTTGAATCTACACTTATTGAAAAGTATTTTGCAGTTTTCACAGCTGTTATAATGTTATTGAGGACCTTCTTAGTCATCAGTTCAATAAATTCATTGCATATAGTAGATGACATGTAAGATACAGTGCCTCTTCCTGCATTCCCAAGGCGTGACACATGATTTGCTAAGAATGGATCGAATTGTGCTAACAGTTCTATGATCCCTAAGAAATTGCCATTGTTTTCCGAACCAAAAACCTCATTTTCTCCACGGAAAGCAAGTCCTCTTAGAGCTAAGAATTTTACAACAGCAACAACTCTTTCTAGAACTTTTCTCCAATAAGTGCGCTCTTTTTCAGTTTGATTTTCCAAATGAGAATCCAATAAGCCTTTTTTCTGTGCACGAAATACACTGGCTAAAATGCAGCTCCTGTGAGTGGTCCTGTTTTCATGTTCCTCAAAACGCTTGGAATTTTTCCAGTCATTGAACCCCTGTGCGAAGGTATTTTCTTTGGTAGAAAATAGCTTGCATGCTGAACAGTACACTTTTCCTGAGCTTTCAGAGTATACCATCCATGATCTTTTCACAGTTTCTGAATTTGCAAGCTTCCTATAAAACATAGATGACTTTAAACAACGACGACTTCCATCATCATAAATCCTTGCTGATTTCCTAAAGTCAATGTTCAGAGTTTGACTGAAGTTTTCTGCAATGAAAGCATTACGTAGAGAATCTGGGATTACATTTAGCCATGAGGCAGGATCTTTTAAGACAAATCCTGTGGATGAAATGTCCGTTGAGACATTGAGAGGAGACACAAAAGAAGTAGATGCTGGCTGAGAAATACCCCTCAAGGAAGGTTCCTTGATGTTGGTGAGGGGCTCTTAATTTAGGGAATTGGATCTGTGCTCCAGTTCCCCGAATTAAGCCTGAATGCCTTCCACATCCCCCCCCCCAGGCGCTGTATAATCCTCCGGGTTTAGCGCTTCCCCCTTGATTATAATAATAATGGCTGAGAAATAATGGAGGGAGGGCTTCCAGTATGATCTGACGTATCTGCAGATTCATCTGTACTGGTAACATCAGAAACTGTTTTCGTGAGCATGTCTGTGATCTTTCTGCAGCTTCCTACATCTTTCTTTTTCTGTTCTTCTTCTTGAATTTTCTTCTTTCTTTTCTGTGACTCACTCGCATAAGAACGTCCAACATCACGTTCACGAGATGCTATAATGAGGATGTATCACTGTCTGTAATCATGCAAATATAAATTTTTCATTATCAATTATTATTAATTTTTTAATTATTATTAATTTTTTTTCTGTCAATTGGGGGGATATGGCCCTTGTAGCCCCCCCTCTGACTGCGCATCTAAAAATTAAAAACGTTACCAGAAAGGAGTCATATACAGAACTTTTACCATAGATTAGGTTAGTGATTTGGGCTACGAATATTTTACTAATTCAATCTCCTTGATCTCCAATTTACTTAAACAGAAATCATACCGAGTCCAAGAACAATGCACAATGGTATTTATATTACCATTTTCATAACTAAACTAATCATTATGTTTTGCATGATATATGGCCTACCACCATAGATAAGGACATGAGAATTAAAGAATGCAGGGAAAATTTTCAGTTTCACCCAACCAACGATTTTCTGATGTGGCTTATGTGTTTCTGGAGAAATATGTAGTAAATTAACTGATGTTCTACATCACTTCCGTCGCAACTTGAAAACTAAGCATTTGCGACGGAAGTGATGTAGAACATCAATCAATTGAGATCTGTTATTGAAATGATAAAGACTTAAAGACAGGACAAAGTACTTTTAAAACCTACAAACGGAAGTCAGTTTGCGTTTTTAGGTTTTTCTTTATAGTATTTTTACCAAAAATGCGTCTTTACTGGTCCATGCGTCTTTACTGGTCAAGTAACCCTATCAGGAACCTCCCTTAACATTTAGAGGCGAAAACAAACATTTATCCATACACATCAATGTCTATCAACAACACTTCAGTTAATTTGTCACAGTACAAGTCTAGATAACGTGTAATTACTACAGAAAATTGGAGAGGAATCTCCCATACTCACCCATTAGCGGGAAAACACAGCTGTTCTGATGTAAACAAAGGCGTGTTGAGTGTTGCCATCTATGGTTAGGTTTATTTATTTTATTTTATTTCATTATTTATTTTTGTTTTGATTATTTTTTAAAAATCAATTTTACTCTCCAAACACTTGAACTTTTTAGGTAGGGACCCCTTTGCACTTGCACCATGTGCGCAGTCTTGGATGAGCCCCTGAACCCCTTGGACTGCGGGGCCCCCAAATGCGCGGGGCCCTAGGCAAATGCCTAGTATGCCTATGTGGTAATCCGGCCCTGCTGACACACACACACACACACACACACACACACACACACACACACACACACACAATGGGATGTTAGGAAGTATTTCTTTAGTCATAGAGTTGTCAGGAAGTGGAATAGTCTGGGAAGTGA